TATTTTACGGCGAAAGCATCATGATGTGAGGTGAACACATCTTACCTTTATGTCAGTGCTTTATTACGTGGTGTAAACAGTGTATGACATTATGTGAACATATTTTTATATTATATCAACACTTTATTACATTATGTCAAAACTCAATTCCGTGATGTGGATAAATAATTACGTTATGTCAACTCTTTCTTATGTGATCTTAAAATATCTCTATATTGTGTTAACTCTTTATCATGTTGATTCCAAAAGTGCATTACCTGATGTAAAAATACATTTACAATTTCTCAAAGCTGTATATCTGGTATAAAATGAATGTTGACGACCGTGTTTTTATGACTGGTAAGAGGGGGGGGGGGGTCCTGATTGATTAGGAAGAATTACAGACACAAAATATCAGCCCCCCCCCCCTCTTTTCCCAGACATAACTTTACAATAGAAAATGTAATGTTCATTGAAAGTACAGCCCCCACCCCCACTTTTTGCTGAATTATAGTCCACTGAGGGTAATGTAATATATCTGACAAAAAAATTAGGACTGATCGAAGTTGGACCCCCTCCCCGAAATAGGATTTTCGGGCTTGGAGTGGGCAATTATTTTTTTTTTTTGGCTTCTCAAGTTTTTTTTCGGGCGAATATTCTTTTTCTGGCTGACCCCCCCCCCCCCCCCTTCTTTCGAAAAAAGATGATACGTCACTGGAATTAGTAATTTTTTCAACCATTCCAGGGCCAGAATTCTATTATAAAAATCTACCAATCCCTCATCTAAATCAATTGAATATGTCTTAGTAAGCATGCATGGGAACATATCAGTAGCGGATTTGAGAATCTTGAACAAAAAAATTGTCCAAGCCTGAAGGGGGACGGTCTATGGTTGGAGACCAAGGGGGAAAGCGGAGAAGCTCTCAGGCTTTATAGTTTTATAAAATAGTTTTCAACTTAATTCAGCTAAACTCAATGTGAAACTAATGCAATGTCCTACAAAGTAAACCCAATTAATTTATTAATTTTATGTACTTGTAGATTTTGGTCACTAGAGATGGTAGGGCGGGATTTCCCCCTCCCCCCAACCCACCAGTGCACGTGTGTTATAACGATGTGTTTACACTTAAAAAAAAAAGGAAAGTTCAAGACTGATAAAAAAACGTATGACAATGTTCTAAGTAAGCTCAGAAGTTTAAGACTTTTATCCAAAAAAAAACAAACAAACAAACAAACAATTCAAAATACGAGTAAAAAGAAAAAAAAAATTGCTGCACGACTCATAATTTTTGATTTATTTAATTATCAGATTAAAGTAAACGCCATTGAATTTCGACATGACTTTAATTCACAGTCGCAGTGTTAAGGCTTTGCACGTTTCAAGATTGTCAATCCTTTGTCGCTTAAAATTTTTATTCAAATCGCTGAGATTTCTTCTACGACAATTTTCTCTCCCGCCAATTTAGTGCTTGCGGAACGCGGAAAATACGTTATGCTCATATAAAGGCCGAGGATACCCGTGTTCGCATAACGTAATAGTGAATCGACATAATGTAGTAGTGTAAGTTAATATCATAAAGAATTGACATAATGTAATGATAGGTTAACACAATGTTATTGTTGTTTAATTAAATGTCATGAACAGTAAACATAACGAAATACAAGAATGTGTAAATGTCATAAAGTGTTGACATAATGTAAAGGAAGGTTTACACGATGCAATAGTAGTGTGGGATAATATCATAAAGAATTGACACAATATAATGGAAGGTTGACACAATGCAGTAGTAGTGTGGGTTAATGTCATAAAGAGTTGACATAATATAATGGAAGGTTGACATAATGCAATAGTAGTGTGGGTAAATGTCATAAAGAGTTGACATAATATAATGGAAGGTTGACACAACGCAATAGTAGTGTGAGTAAATGTCGTAAAGAGTTGACATAATGGAACCGAAGGTTGACACAATGTAATAGTAGTGTGAGTAAATGTCATATAGAGTTGACTATGTATTTAGGAAAGTTCACACAATGCAATAGTAGTGTGAGTAAATGTCATAAAGAGTTGATATAATGTAATGGAAGGTTGACACAATGCAGTAGTAGTGTGGGTTAATGTCATAAAGAGTTGACAAAATATAATGGAGGGTTGACACAACGCAATAGTAGTGTGAGTAAATGTCATAAAGAGTTGACATAATGTAATGGAAGGCTGACACAATAAAATAATAGTAGAAGTAAATGTCATAAAGTGTTGACATAATGAAACCGAAGGTGACACAATGTAATAGTAATGTGAGTAACTGTCATATGGAGTTGACATTATGTAAAGGACAGTTCACACAATGCAATAGTAGTGTGAGTAAATGTCATAAAAAGTTGACATAATGTAAAGGAAAGTTCACACAATGCTATAGTAGTATGAGTTAATATCATGTAGAGTTGACATAATGTAATAGAATGTTGACACAATGTAATAGTTGTGTGAGTAAATGTCATAAAGAATTGACATAATGTAATGGAAGGTTGACGGAGTGCAATTGTTGTGTTCTGCTATAAGGCAGTGACGGCGTTCCATACATCTCCATATGCAAGTTCCATGCCATGCAGGAAAAAGCCTTGTTGACGCTGGGTTCGCGTACATAAAGAATTTTTACATAAGATCTGAGGTGGACTCCCTGGATCAGCTGGCAAACGTTGTTCGGAAGAGTTCAACATCTAATGAAGTTGTTGTTTTTGGTGGAACAGAGGGGCACTGGTAAGATTGGAAGACGTTTACCAAAGACTATTTCCTTCCCTTTAAGGGTATTAGAAAATACCGGCATTTCGTCTTCAAGGCAGAAAACGAAGGTGAGTTTAAAAATGTATTTACTGTATTTCTAAATCTGTGAACACACACTTATTTACTTTGAAATATCTTAATTAAATCTACACAATATTTTAAAGGTATTATTGAAGCTAGCGAGGCACCGGAATTTTCAATCATTAAAGTTAAATTGTTAAAACCTGGAGTTGACATAGGATCCATCCAGCCCCCTGTGATCATCCCAGCCGCTGAGTTGTCAGCTGACTGACAGAAATATCTATATAAAGAGATAGAGCCATCTTATGCATAAAATGGCCCTGTACTTATATCAATTAATTAACTATCACCCTCTTTCCCATTTCATATATCAAAAGAAAGTAAATACTTGGTGCTCTAATTTCCTATAACAAAATTTCGTTTTTGAGAATCTAAATATTGGAAAACAGATTTAAGAAATTGCAATGTTCTTCAAATTTGCAAAAAACATGCGTATTCGACTACCTTCAGCAAAGAATTAAAATATGAGCACAGTCCACGATTCAAAAAATAAAACATGTTTTTTTTACCTTCAGAAACAGAGCTTTTATTATGTATTTGCATATTTTGGATCAGAGGTTGTGCTCCATATGAAATATTGAAAAAAGCTTCAATTTTAAGTCGTTTTCAAAGGAATTTACAGGATATGAGGAAAATGACGCATTCTATGACGTCATAATGCATTGACTAGATGGGAAATTACATCACAACAGTGATATGTGGTCACCAACACTCAAAGTGATAAATACTGAAAGCAACGGGTCTTTGGGATATGACCTTAAAAACGTAGGTCCCGTGTCACGGTAGGCGCTGGCACGATAAAGAACCCTCACTGCTCAATGGCCCTGAGTGCCGAGTATAGGTCTAAATTTGAAGCCTTTCACCGGCATACGGTGACGTCTCCATATGAGTGAAAAATTCTCAAGCGGGACGTTAAACAATATACAATCAATCAATAAATCTATTAATTTAAATTTAAAAAAAAAATTCGATTTTGTCCAAGTCATTCAAATGTACGACTCGATTTCAAATGAAAACCAAAGACAGTAAAATTCCAATTTCCTATCGTAAGTATAGCCTGATCAGAACGTTCATTTAAAGTGACTTGAGTTTAAGCAGGCATATTAAAAAGAGCTAAAATTATCTAAGTTATCATTCTCTCATGTTAATTTTTATTGCTTATAGGTGATTTCAAAGTGAGCATAGAAAGATTAACGGTGGCGCCAAGGGAATACAGGTAAATATTGATAAATGGTGAATACCATATTAACCTGTGTGTTTACGATATACCAAAAATAATACATGACATTTTTAACTGTGTTTAATACATTACCAGGTGTAGGGAAGTCGATGAGGAATGGGTAAATGCCATCAAACACAGTATCATGAGAAGGATATAAAAATAACGAACATTATTCAATCTCAACGTCCATTAAACAAGTATACAAAATAAGAGCAGAGCAAACACGGACCTCTGAAACATCTGAGGTGGGATCAGGTGCCATGGAGGAGTGAGCATCCCCTGCCGACCGGTCACACCCGCCGTGTGCTCGTTGTCATAATCAGGAAATAACGGAAAAAATCCGTGGTCAATTCAGTGTATAAATAATGGACTAACAATTGGTATGAAAAACGTCAGTCAGCATTTCATTCAATGATAAATTGTATTTGCTGACAAGGTCATTGTATCGACCTTAGAATTTACGAAATGATGACTTTAAACGAGACTGTTGATATTCTTGTTTCATCAACTTGCTTGTCAATAATTTATCTCGTTTAATAAATTGTTCATACGTAGAGCATGCTCTTGCGTATCGAATCAACTGAGATATAAATACTCCGTATGCAGGTGATGAAGGTATATTGCTGCATAAGTAAGGGAAGTTGACGATAGAAAAGTTAAAGTCATCACGTTTATCATATAGCTTGGTTGTTAGATTACCATTAGTGTCTTTTTCAAGTAAAATATCCAAGTATGAAGCAGAAGTGTCGGACTCTGTGGTATCTTTTATCTCAAGCTCACCAGGATATATCGTGTCGACGTAGGAATGGAAATTAACATTATTAATTGACAAAACGTTGTCGATATATCTAAATGTCGAGTTGAAGGCCACAGCAAGTGTTTTTTTCTTTTCACGTAAAAGATTTTGCATAAATTCTGCTTCATATGAAATATCATAGAAGCCCCAGGACCACTTATAAACAAAATACCTGTACTCCTAGATCCAGACATTGTAATATAATTAGCCTAATGCAGATAATGGAGACCTAAATAACACACATAGTTGAAGGCAAAATGACAGTTTAATCGTATAACCACAGTACATTGCGAATGATTAATCTGATTTCAAATTTTAAAAATTAATTAAAGCATGAAGCATAACTGAAGTATCACAAAAAATGAAGTCAAATGATATATAAACATGCATTTTTATGCGTGTTACTTTTTTCTTGATTCCATTTACATCGGGTAAGACCACGCGCCAATTCCATTTTTTCTCTTTGGACCCCAGAAACAAATTATAAAATTTTCCGTACACGGAAAATTCAATTGTAATTCTTGTTTCGTTTCTGCTCTATTTTTCTCTGCTTTCTGCGTAAACCAAGAAGAATAAGTAAAATATCTGGCGACAGACGTATAATTTCCTTACATAAGATATTTTTCTACCGAAGCTTTCTCTGATAATCATAAAAAGTAGAGAAATGTGTCCTCGCAATTTCTTTCATGTTCTGCCTAGAATATTTGTTTACACAAAGTAAATGTTTATATAATCGATGGCCCGATCCTACTTTTTCCAAATGTCTGAGAATCAAGAAATTGAAATGGTGTGGTTTAAATTAAAAATTGTTCTAATTTGAAATACTGTGGAAAATCCTAGACATGTAGCACAATTATCAAAATATCCTTATTAAAAAAGTTCTTCATATTCCCTAAATGCGGTATCAATATTTCTTTCTTACTGTACCCTTGTCAGTAAATACAATTTATCATTGAATGAAATGCTGACTGACGTTTTTCATACCAATTGTTAGTCCATTATTTATACACTAAATTGACGACGGATTTTTTTCCGTTATTTCCTGATCATGACAACGAGCACATGGAGGGTATGACCGGTCGGCAGGGGATGCTCACTCCTCCAAGGCACCTAATTCCACCTGTTATGTTTTGAAGGTCCGTGTTTGCTCTGCTCTGATTTTGTATATTGCTAAATAGTTTTTGAGATTGAATGCTGTTCAATACATGTATCTCCATATCCTTCTAATAAATTATATGTTTGTGTTAATTTTCATACAATGTCGTTAATAAAAATAGTCATTAATCACAACGATATTACTCAATATTTCTATTCATATTCTTAAATTTTACTAAATTTTCATAAATCTAACTATATTACTTTACAGCAGTCGGACCGCTAGACAAAAAAAAGTTATTTAGGGGGGGGGGATAAAATATTTCTTCTACCTAGCGCCAACAGGCTTCCGACTAAACACATTTGCTACTGACTATCATCAACCTAATCAATTAAAATGGTAAACCAGTTAAAAATGACATCCCTTGCTATGAATTGTTTTACTTTGCTATGGAATTACTTAAACTAAACCTTTAATTTTGAATATTTTATTTAGATTTCTGACCTTTCCAATTTCACTGCCCAGCGAATGGAAGATGACATCCCCTTATTTCTATTAGGAGGGAATCACTTAGTTTCTGCTTGTAAGAAGCTTCTACTAGAAGAACCAAACAACGACTTATTTGACAGCTACAGGTTAGTTTACTTTTTCGGTATCATATTATCATAAATTTAAATACATTGCGTCAACTAAAATGCTAAATTTCAACCCTTGAACAAGTTCATTGTTACTTTTCTATGATAGTCAAAAAAATTCCGGAATTGGACGTAAACAGTAAAAATAAACCTGGTGGGGATGGAATGGGGATAGGGTTAACAAAATAAAAAAAAAACGAAGTAAGGGTAGTTTTCTTTTTGTATGAGAAAGAAATTGATGCTGAAATTATTTGGAACCCGAACCCCCATCCCCCTATTCTCGACTAAATAAGAATTTTGAGATAAGACAAATCTTGCAAATGAAATTGCATTTTTTTTATATATATCCAGGTTCTTCCAAGTGGAAGTGTTTATTGAACTTACACCGGAAGAAGCCAAGCTGGTGGGAAATATTCATAGTGCTAAGAATCGTATTAAAGAATTGACTTTTCAGGTAGGTTTAATAAAACAATCAAATATTTTTATTTGATCTCTCAAAATTAAACTTAATCTCCTCTCCTCACTATTTCTCATATATATTATGTGTGTTGTATGAGGTTGTGATTACATTTGTCCTTCTTCCGTCCTAGGACCAGGTGTTTCAAGCTGGGGGAATCTTCTTGAGAGATAGCATTGGGGATGAGTGGAAAGAGACCACGACCGTGGTTCTATCCCATTTACAGCAGAAAGTAAGTAAAGGGTGTTAAATTTATAATAAATACCTACTAAATCGTATACTATTTCTCGATTTCTCTTCTTGATTATTTTCAAAGTAAATTATTTCAAAAGGTTTGCAAAAAAGACAGCCTTAATGTCGTGTTCAGTGTGGCCTCATACGACGATTCCTGCTTTGCAGAGGTGGAGAGAATGTTTGCCTTGTGGGGAAAAACTGAATTCCCACCAAAGGTTTTTAAGTATTTAAATAAATCAAAAATAATACAGAGTTTCATTTCTGTATGTGAACTTCTTTCTTTTCAAAAGTAAATATGATTAATTTTTTTCTTTGTAGTTATTTAAGGCACTCTTGGGGTTGACATCAGATGTTGTTCTACAACACCTGATGAGAATTCAAACACAGAAAGATGTACACCTAAGAACGACCACAATAAAGCTAGAGAAGAAAAGGGAAATGCTAAGAAAAATCTTCATGGACAGAACTGGTTGCGCGACTTGGGAAGAGGCAGAGGACAACTTTGAGCCCTATACCCACGAAGTTGACAAGTTTCTGGGAAATTAAAATTTAATATTAATCTTTTCATACAAAAACAATTAATGATTAGGATTTTAAAAAAAATTATGAAATAAAATAATTATTTTTTTACAGATATGAAAATAAATAGGAAATACGTCCCTGGCGATTTCATCAAAGCTTGTGACCGAGCAAGGGACAATCTACCCCTCAGGGAGATAAATATACGAAGTGAAATAGTTGCAAAACTAGACGGAGAGGAGTTGGGAGGGGGAAAGTAATGGCTATTATTGGGGGTGTCAAAAGATTGGCGGAGGACAAATTGAAACAACGCTTAGAAAAAAAAATTAAGATTTAAATAAAATTCAAACTTTGAGATAGTATAGTTATCTTTATCCCCTTCTCTTTTGCTTTTCACACACCCTCATCTACTGGCATAAACCCTCGACCAACCTCCCTTAAATACACATTTATTATACAAAGATAAGAACTATAATCCGATGCATAATTTGAAAAAAAAAATAAAAGAAGGTATACATATTGCCCTTTTAATTTGAAAGATGAAACGTATACATGAGCACTGAGTTTCTCTATTGATACTATTTCGAATGTTTGTAAAAATGTGGAAAAGAAATTTTAAACGACGAAATTTTTTCGACGTAAATCAAATAACAGGGGCGTAGCTTTTTCTCTCAACCACTTTTTTCCCAAGCTTACTTTTACTATAGGAAATATTGATAGAAAGTCTGGTTAGAATTGGTACTAAAAGTAGTTGACACTGATTACACCCCCTACCCAATTGGAATTTTTCGACTTTGGGCATTATTATATATATATATATATATATATATATATATATATATATATATATATATATATATATATATATATATTTTTTTTTTTTTTTTTTTTTTTTGCATGTCAACTTCTTCAGAAAATCCCCCCCACATTAAAAAACGATGCTACGCCACTGAATAAGGTTCTTAATGTTTCTTCCTCCTGAATGCAAAGGCATATATTAGTTAATGAGCCCATTTGTTTTTTAGCATAATTCTCCATGAAAATCAATTTTACTAAATTGAAAAGGTGAATTTCAATAATTTTTGGGACATGTGAATATTTCACCTTCAGACACGCGGCTTCTGCAAGTTTAGTCCAATCAAATTATTCAAGCAGAGAAAACATGCTCTGAAATCGCTGTAGGCGTGTCAAGCTCATTTCAAGGCAGTTTTGAGTATGGAATCATTCAATGTTATGAACAAAAAAAGAACACGCTCATCAACTGAATAATTGAACAATTGCAGAAAATATAGCATTTGTAAGAATGAGCATGATGAACATTCATTGTTATTGTCCTCATATACATGTGCCACAAACTACTTTATTAATATTACCATTTACATATTTGCTGAAAATTTATGTGACGTGTTCTTTGTATTAATATCCTCATATATGGGTACAGTCCACTAATTGTTTTCCCATAGGCGACAATGTTAACGTTTCTTCTCATAGCGATGTCCCTAATTTTCGTTCAGAAGTGAGTGACCCCTCAAATCAAAGCACGTCAACTTGTCTTTCCTTGGTTAAAATCTCGAGGTGGCATGCCAGATTCGTTTTCCGGCAAAATGCGTCTGTCTGCGGGAACCTCTAAAAATGAAAGTGAAAGTAGGGGAATTTCAGAATTGTTACTGGCGTTGTAATACACAAAATAATTCGGCTGATCTTCTTGATAAATTACATTTTTCAAGCTTTTTTGGTAGGAAAGATACTCTTTATCAACAAGTGTGAGGCTCAGTTTAGTACATCTGCCCAATTTTTTTTATGCAAGTCTGCAAATTAAGGAACTTGGAATTTTTTCTGCACTACTTTCTTCTCCTACCGATTCTAAAAATAATTAGTGGGATGTACCCAATATGGAAAAGCATTTTTCTGATTTTACAATATTTCACACTGTTTGTCAATCTACAGCATAAGTAGAGACATCATGCCAAGTTTCATGAAAATTCAACAATAAATTAAGATTTTACAGCATTTACAGTTCTATGTGTAATGTCCTAAAAAATGCTCCAATCTAGCCAAAACTGCACCCAAGTTTTAAGTCAAATTTTAGCCTTTAACACATTTATATCATTCTTAATCACCTTCATAACTTTAAATACATATAGTCAAATCATAATCAAGCACTTAATTGGGTCATTTTCACTTATTTTAAAAAATTAATGTATAACCGCACAAAATATGACCACTTTTCACCCTCTAATTCATAGTTTCT